GTAACTTTGAAAGGCTCTCATCTATCCTCGAGATGGAATAAGCATCCTTCACCGTCACGGAACTCAGATATCGAAAGTCACCGCAAAATCTCAGTTGATATCCATTCTTTTTGGCCATCACTACTCCACACGCCCACGGTGAATTGGATGGTTCTAACATGTCATATTTTAGAAGCATTTCTATTTCTTTTCTACAAGCGTCAGATGTGTGTGGGGTCATGCAACTCGCCCCCTCCCTGTGCGGTACCGCCGTCTCCTCTTACTCTATCTCATGTTCAACAAAATTACAACACCCAATACCTCCTGGTGTCCCGAGAAAACATCCTGATTCCTATCTAACACCACCTTGATGGCTTTGAGCTGTCCGTCCGTTTTTCCTCGCTACATACATGTTTTTTTCTGGTAAAACCGGTTGATCCAATTCCAATTCCTCTGTTGTGGGTTTTTCTGGAAAGTTGGAACAGCTCGACAGTCCATCCTCTGTTTCTGACCTAAATAAATTGATGACAACCGATGAATTTTTTATTCGCTTCAATCTACTCAAGATACATTTCTTGTCCTTATGATTCGCACAATCAAAATTTCATAATTGTTAATATATTCAGTCATTTTATATCTAGTTTTCACCGGTAAGGCGTATCCTACTTTCCTCCCTATCTGGATTGTAATTGATATATCAAGAGTATTCAACAAGACACTGACACAGAGGCTACTCTTGGTGATCGAGAATGATCTTCCTAAAATAGCAGCACTTTTGCTACTTGGATTTGGAACTACGCATAGTTGTTTATTATCACTGAGTTCATTGTTGTTCTTCATGCTCAAGATTACAATTGCAGCCTCATTGGCTTTCAACCTCGCCCTCCTACTCAAGAAAACCGGAGCTTTGCAATCCTGTGTCATTATCAAATTTACCGCTTTTACTTCGTATTTCCTCTCCAGATTTCGAATCCTGAACATCGCATTGTTTATATCTATCGTTAAATCAATGATCCTGGTGAAATCCTTGCCCAAAATGAATTGATCCGATTCATCTAGATTTTCCATAGCAAAAAAAACTCATCCACATATTGCGTTGTCTCAAATTTAATGGTCCTATCGTTGTTCTGGCAAGTACCCTTAGTGCCCCTATGTTTGCCGCTGACAACCGGATCCTGGAGTCTTTCAGGTCTTCTTTGTCAAATTCGATCCGTCTCCATGTCCCCTTTTGGTATCACGCTCACTAACTCTTTTCAATGCGTCTTTCTTCCATTTATGTCTACTACATGAGCAGACACGTCCGCTACCGTGCTCAAATGCATAGCGTCTCCCGCAATATCCATTGCGCAATATTCAATTGCGCTAGCGTTGCGCAATATTTAATCGCCCTCACCATGAGGTCTTCTCGACCCACGAAAATTTGGCCCGCCAGGTCATCATCGCACGTTATCAATTTGTCAATTTCTTTGTGTAGATAATGATTCCATCTATATGTAGTATGACCTCGTATGAACCATACGCCTCGGTGTACCTGCTGTCCACTCTTATCGATTTTCCACCGCCTCTTGTCAGTAGTGCTCTGATCGCTTTCGATGGAGTTTGAGGACTAATGGTTCGCAAATAGTCCGCATATACGTCTGTAAACATCAGTGTTTGGTCACTTGGTTCGCGTAAGTTCCGCGTTACTTCGTGGCCACCTGTGGTGATCATTGACATTATTCTCGCTCCTATCTTCGTGATCCCGAAAGGTTTCTAGTCGCCATTTTTAAGGTGTAACAATTGCCCCTGGTCTTCAGATTGTCTTTTATCTCACGTTGGGCTCTTGTTGCTGACAACGTCTCATCTCTTTGTTGTTTTTCTACTTCCTGTCTTAGCCTCTGTTCAATTTCCTATGTTGCCAAATCTTGTTTCGTTTTATGCATTGCATCTGCTGCTGCTTTCTGATATTTCATCCCCAGCCTAAATTTGGCTTCTGCCCCTTGGTTTTTTCCTCTTCGATCACCACATTCACAGATTTCGTCGACAGTTCATCTTTTATCACGTCCTTGTTCTGCAAGTCACTCTCAGCATGTCTATTTTTGGTATCCAGCCTTTCTATTTCTGGTATTTCGCCGCTAGCGCTAACTTGTGTTTCGGGTGATTTGATTCTTTACGGCTTCCGAAAAAGAGAAAGCAATCCATACTGAAGCACCTTCCTGGTAGAAGAAACATCTCGCGCCAATCGTGATTATCACTTCACTATAAAATTCATCTTGTTACATCTGGTGCATGTCGTCCTCGTCTGGTGCATAACGCAGGCTTTCCTTACTTGTTTTTAAGAGTTGCACTCCGCTACGTAATGATCTGACGACTCACAATTTGAACTTGACCTGCGTTTGTACATGTCGTCTCTCGGCTTGTACCACGTCGACCGTTGTTACTGGCTCACTCCTTGAAGATTTCGGTTTTCTGGAAATGATTAACTCTTTGGTTTCATTAACATGCGTTCTCTGGTTTTCTGTGTCAACTCTTCAGGGGTTGTGCGTTATCTTTCGATAGCGTATAATAGATTGCCAACATCGATGAATTTTGAAGCAATGCTCAAGTTCTTCCTGTTGGTTGACTCCTCCGGTTCACTTTTTCTTCTCAAGCTCTCTGTCATCCAAAAATCGATCAATCGATTCGCCATCCCTTTGTCTCTTTTTCTCAAAATTCATCAAAGGTTGATGACCTTCAATCCAGATCCAAAACGATTCAATACAATTTCGAAAGTCCTGTCCGCTATATCACGTTCTTTCCTTCTTGGCAACCATGCACTTCAGTGATGTGCCCTCCAGATTGCTTAGTATCACCGTGCGTGCTTGTTTTTCATGATTCCAGTTGTATTGCTCAAGATGTAGCCTCATCACCTCAACCCACGTGTCTATGCAACCATCCGAATCACCTTTGAACTCTTTTGAATTCTTGAAAGTCTTTCTCGACTTGCCACCTCCTCTTTCGCTTGACTCCGTTTTTCTCTTGGCAAATGCTTTGAAAATCTCGTTCATCATTTCCCAAGTGTTTGCCCATCTCATGGCATCTGGTGCTACACTCGCGTGTACGTTCGATTCCCTTGGAATTCTCGTTGAATTTGATGCACCTCCTTTTGTTGCTCTCTTTACCGTTTACGATCCGTAAAGTCTACCCTTCTTATTGAATGTTTCACTGTTTTCTCTGCTACTGCTTTATCTTGGTTGATAGAATTTCTCAAGAGCGCATCCAATTTAGACTGTATGCCACAGCAACTCTCAGCTTGGTCTCTGCTCATCGTGTCCCTTCACGTCTGCAGACTCCAGAGCTTGTCATTTACAGTTTCATACCGTTTTTTCTTTACCTCCATATCCTTCTTGTTGAACTTCTCTCGTTCCTTGTCAGTTGTCTCTACTCTTTCAGCCATTTGTTGTAATTTCTCCTCAGTTGCTCTTGCTAAGGTGGAGTAGTTGTCAAGATTCTCAATTTTTTTTGTATCGGACCTCTCTTGTCATCTCCTCTCGGTCTTCCTTGCCGCTCTTGAGCTTTTTGTCTTTCTGCTCCAACTTTAGCATCAAGTCTCCCAAATCCACCGGTGGTAATTTCAATTCTGTTACAGGTACTGCTGAGTGGCACGCTTTTTTCTCTGTGGATTCTTTGCTCTGTTGCCCTCCATCGCCGGCCTCCGTTGTAATGGTAGAATCTGTTCGAAAGGTCTTGCTTTTGCCGGGCCTTGTAATCATTCCCTCCTTATCTTTCGGCCTAATCCCCACCATAGCTGCAAATCTCTCCGTGAAGTATGTCCTCTTTATCTGGGAATCGTATTTTATCGTTTCCGGGTTGTTGCTCTATCGCTCATTGGCGAGAACTCAATTGTTTTTGCTCAACTTGTTTTTCAGCGTTTGGCATTTGCGTTGATTCTGTTCTTTTCTTCTCGACATCGTCAATACTTTGTTCAGGTGTCTCTAGATCAACTTCAGTGACAGACGCACTCTTTCGTTTCGTTAGCTTTCCTTCAGTTGTGTCCATCACCTTTTTCTTTTCTTTGTTGCTTTGCATGTTAACTGAAACATATTTCTTCTGCAGTATTGGCATCGTTTTAACCGGTGTTATCTCTCGGCTGCCCTATTGGGCGATTGTGCCTTTGTACGTCTCTGCCTTTTTCTGGTAACGACACTCTTGTTCTCTTCATTTTTGTTTTTAATTACAATTTTCGTCTATATACAGGTGTTAATATGATATCAATAGTTTATAAAAACCTTCAACTCTTCTCAATGCAACAAATTTTCAAAACAAATTCAGTCGATTATCTAGTTCAACAGTTGAATTTAAAATTTAGATTTTATAGCCGTTCCTACTCCAATAGGTTGTATGGTTACGGTAATAAGGCCCACTTTTTTACATTTTCTAACCACGAACCTTTATCTTACCAACCCCCCTTTGTAACCTCCCCCCTATCAAGCCCCCTCACATTCATTAAAATACCATCAAAGATTTCTGGATGTGGAACACAGCAGCTTTGTTCCACTAATTTTTGTCTATGTATTTGTGTAGTGGAGGAGCAGCACCAGGCTCTACAAAAACCGTCCAGAAACTAGCAGAAATTAACCGAAAAACGGACCGAATCATACTCCGACACAATAAACTTCGTATGACTCTAAATAAGTGCAAGCTGAGGAGTGCAATTGTTTGCCTCAAGGGGTGCAAAAAACTTAGAAATACATACAACATAGACAATTCCATTGGTGCTATAATCGAGGAGGGTAGATTTTAATTGACAATTCTCTGGATGCTTTAAAATCGACTTGATTTATTCCTAAAAGTATTTATATGGCGTTGGTATGGCTCTGTCCAACCTGTGCACGGACCGTGGCATGACGGAAGGCGTGTTAAGTTGGATTCCCCGTCTGATTTAAAACTGAAATATTTTATTGCCTCTACCCATGTTCCTTTATTAAAACAATAATATGACATTGTTGAAAATTTTAAAAAAAAACAATTAAAACACTGTAAACGAGTAAGATTTCAGAGCATGCAATGCACAATCAAATGTCCACTTCCGTCTGGCATGAACTGGAAAGCGACCCAGGTGTATTCACGCTCCTCATGGAGCGCATGGGCGTGCAGGGAGTCCAGGTTGACGAAATTTATGATATCGACGGGGAGTTTCCCAACGGTATAGTGTATGGGTTCATCTTCCTTTTTCGTTGGTCTCCCTCGGGTCAGACAAGAACGTCAAGACGTCAAGCCTACCACTTCAACTATGTGAAGGATGCAAGCGAATTAGATAATGTATACTTTGCTCACCAAGTGAAAGAAAATTCCTGTGCCAGTCATGCGTTGCTCAGGTTTGTTGCATTCCTATGCATAGCTTTGACGAAAACGCCCGTAAGTTTTTGAGGTATCGTTTTCTTGGAATTTTAATCGGTTTAACACCATACCAACACCATTGTGCAATTTGTCTGAAGGTATTACTGTTTAGCTCTAGATGTTTCTTAGTATTGGCGTCTGCGTATTCTTGTGTTTTGGCAAACTTCACGCAGCCCTATGTTTTACATACGTACCCAGAAGAAATGAAAGATCTGGGTATCCTGATAACCGACACGCTCTCATAGACGCAACACGCAAAAAAGGGGGCTGAAAAAGCCTTAAACGCTCTCTTCGTACTCAAAAGGAATCTCTCAAAGGCGAATTTCGCGACCAGAAAAAACGCATATATCTGTTACGTTGTGCCAATTCTGTGCTACGGTTCAGCTATCTGGAAACGATCAAAAGGCGACTTAGGAATCATAGAAAGTGTGCAGCGGAAAGCGATCTCGTGGATTTTCATGACAAGCAATAGCCATATCTCCTATAAAGACAAACTCAGCATCCTTCCTTAACATCTTTCCTTTGTCTCTATACCAAGAGCTTCATGTTGGACTGCTGTTTGCAAAAATACTAGCTGGAAAAGTTTACATCGACTGGAGAAGCCATGTAAGCATCACTGACGTTGGAAACCGAAGAGCTCAAATGACACGAAATTTCGTCTGCAAACAAATGCGTCTGAAGAAGTGCGAGTCAGATTTCTGGTTTCGGGCATGTCGTCATGCCAATCTGTACAACGAATACTTCAAATGTGACATATTGTTTGACCCAGAATGCAAAAACAGACTTCTAGGAATGTACACAAAGTTTTTCAAAACTCGCTACAACGAATCAGACACATGCACTTGGCGCGTTTTATGCGAATGCAACAACTGTAGAGACCTGAAGAAACTTACTTTTATAACTGAAAACTAAACTTTGAACAATGCAATGACTGGGTTTTATGCGAACCCTTGGAATATATTCCTAAATCCTTTGTTATTATTATTATAATACGTACTCCGAGCCTGTCGTTTCTATGAACAGGGGTTCAATCTCGTTGGTCGCGACTTCAAAGCTCTTAATCGTAGTTCTTTTCCTCAGTTTTGGTCCGACCATTGTAAATTGTGAGGAATTTGTTACTCGTGTGTGTTTTAGTTTTTTGTTTTCCACGCAAAAGCAGGTGCAACAAGTAGTCATTGGACTGTGTGGAGTGTTATATCATATCGAAGCCCTTTCAGCCTGATTCTTAGGATGCTAAAAGATTTTCAAGTACCTGTAATAGTGTCGAAAAAAAGCCCGTTGGAGTGTTTTGATTCCTATTCTAATTTCTAAGTGCGTTGATTTTGCCGAGGTATTATTATGCTTGTTGCAGATCCTTATACCACAGGACGCTCAAAAACGGCAATAATGTGAAGAAAACGTTTGTAACTTTCTCCCGGAAGATACATAGCTGTCACATCCCTAAACGCCATTTATTGTTTTGATTCAGTATTGGACCTGAACAACGATTTCGAGGTCCAGTTGGTGTTAACGCCTACGAGCTAAATTTACTTTCAAAAAACAGAAGATGCGAATTAGAGGATCAGTTAATACCATGGGGGAAGAAACAGGAAGTAACATTTGAACTAAAACAGTCAACTCCAAAAAAGGCTCGCTGATCCAAACAAAATGACTGAACGTTACTGATAACTATGTTAAATAAGGTTGTTGAGTGCAAGCAATAACATATACTCTTGGTTTATAGACATTATAAAATCACTCGAGAGATATTTGCGAGTGATCAGCTTGTATTCAATAAAAGCCTCCACCTGAAATTTATTTTGCTTGTCCTCTGAGCCTTCAGAAGAATATCGTCGTGCGACCTCCGACATTCGATCTTCATCTCGGGTACTAGGCTTTTCTCGTCATGTGGAAAGCGATTTCCTACAATAAACTCAATAGTATCAGAAATGTTTGGAGACCTGATACCAGTTCTAGGATTTATGATAATAGAAGATGCTTGACTTAGAAGATGCTATAATATTGAGAGATCTATTTGCACACAATAACTTTTGGTACTCGAAACTAAATATTGACTTAAGAGGCGAAAAGTTAGCTCACGAAATTTGAAAAATCAAATTAAATGATTTCGAATGAAAATGAATCAACCTGCATCACAGTTACATGCGCAAGCTCGCCCGATAGCAGTCCGATTTCGCCCAGCCTTGGAATGAACTCTAATTGAAAAACACAGCTTATAGTTTGCCTGGACTTGGATCACCTCTCAATAACAATCACCTTAACATGCGCCATAGATATCATAGAATATCCCTGACGAAATTATATCATGGTCCGTAGAGCCAATTGGGAAAAGTTCAGAGAAGAAACTGAGGAAATAATCGCAGCTTATGTCCTCTCAATATGAAAATAATCAACCCTACCCAAAATGACAAAAGTTGATTTCTTTTCGGAAAAATTGTGAAAATAAATCCAGATCAAGCAAGGTATGGTCCACTTTTAACTCTGTCGGGACGAACCCCTCGAAAAACTCCCAACAAGCCAATCATTTTTGACGAGACCCCATACTACAATGCAAAGCTTTGCGCCAATAGTCTGCAAGAGCAGTCCCCCACCCATAAAAGCCTGGCAAAACAGACAAGAATAGTTATGCGCCAAATTAGAAAACTTGAGCTTTGCCAAATTACCCTCTCACCGCTGATGGTACAGGAAGCTTTCAAAAAATCTAAAGAATCAGGCCCTAGGCACTGATCACATTGCCCCCATTTGGCTACACTATCTCGGAATAATTGGCCCTAAGTGTCTGGCGCAAATCATTACCCTTGCTATCAACACTCCCAATATACCACAAATAATGAAAATATCACGCATAATTCACCCCAAACAGGACAAGGATCTGGAGAAATGGAAAACAATACTGTCGCGGAACTGGTGGAAAGGGTTCTTATACCTTAGCTACGCCTAAACATACAAATAGCAAATCACCAACACGATTTTAGGAAAGACCGAATCACCGTGAGGGCACTTACTTTGATCATTATCACATGAACGAAGACTTAATCATGAAAAACCATGCCAAAGAACTCGCTTGGTTGCACTTAATTTAACAGCTGGTTTTGACTGTAAATCGCAGCGTCCTCATAGATGACATTAACTCAGACTTAACAACCAACATCAAGCGATTGCTGCTCTCCTATCTCCAAAAACAATTCGCATTATTTAAATTTCGAGACGCAAATTCTGGAATGAAAAATGTTAAACAAGGTGTACCACAAGGTGGTGTTCTATCGCCTACACTCTTCAATCTATATATGGTTTATACGTTTAATGTTGTTGCATTTTTTCCTAAATGTACAACCGATTTTGTTTTTACGCTATAATTTGAGCAGAATATGGATTATGGATGTGATCGAATACTTCGCGCGAAGACGAACAATTTTTAATTTGTTCGTCTTCGCCGATACGTCATGGCATAGGGCGCAGTCAGAATCTAGGGTCACTCTAAGAAAGTTTTTCTTGCATATTTGTTTATGTAAACTGTTCGCGTTAAATAAGGCATTCTGTATTGTTCTTTTTGCTCTTTGCTTTGTATTAGGTCTTAAGTTCTGAAAGTAGACAGCAGAGCCTACTTGGTTCTGGGTGAGTTGTTTTCGCACATCATAAAGTTTTTTGTGGAACCAATGTTGTTTTTTCCTAACCATGCCACGCCATACATGATTTGGCAGACATTTAAACAATGAGGATCTTTTGTTCAGACTCGTATTTTCTGTTTTGAATGCAGGTTCGCTACTGCTCATGGGATTTTTTTTTGCAGCTTACGTATAAGACTCAGATTCTTTTCAAAATAGTTTGTTGACGCAAAGTTTTGTGTTAACAGCATAATTATGAACTGCATGTCAAAAATGGAGGTCGGAGATCTTCTGGCTCAAATTCATCAAGAGACGAAAGACCTCTCTCACTATCAGAGGGGCGTGTACTTTGGCCAACATGCGAAATTAGAGCAATACCACAACTCCTTCGCAAATAAAAATATCTCGACTCCTGAACAGAGGTTACAGAATAAAATGGGCAGTAGTAGTAGTTTGTATGCGAGTGAGCTGGAGGCAGTGTCGACAGCAACAACTGTGGATCAGTTCCACTACATATCTTTCGTTCCAATAAACAATAGGTTGGTTCAGTTTCCGTTTGAAATCATTTTTCACTGTGTTCGTTTCATTTTTGTAGAAACTTCGAAAATAATATGAACATTTGAATTCATTTTGAGTTGATAAATTTTCTTCGTCTTGAGGCAGAAAATCTAAGTTATGAAATTTTTTTCAAGTATCAATGAACAACAGTAAAAAGTTATTTTGGTCACAATGTTTTTTCTTTTTTTAGCTAGTTTTATCGAAAAATGTCCAAAATAAAAGAGTCCTGAAATTCAAAGAGCTTCAAGATCATGTTTTTTGGCGTTTTTTAGTTGATCGACACTTTTCAACTGTTTATTGGCTATCGTCTTCGCGATCGCGCAAAAAAGCCAGGTTTGTGGTGTTGACTGGCTATTCCGATATTCTAGACTGTATGAGTTGGATGGTCTAAAACCCCACCCGATTAATCACGGCGGGTGGAGGGAAGACAGAGGGGAAACATGGGTGGATAGATTCAGACAAGTCATCAGGGACCGAGTGTTGACTTTCGACTCAGAAGTGTGCTTCAACCTGCTCAGTGTAATACCTGATAAACGAAGACAGCTCAGGTCCAAGATACAATACTTAGAGGTGAGTAACCTAAGATACAAGTGATTTATTTTCTTTGAAGTTGGTTAAAGTTGGAAGTAATAAAAAGAACATTTTAGTAAATGCAAGAAGGTGAAATTGAAAATTGACACATTTGAGAACACAAGCAGGAAACTTGCTCGCTGCAATTAGATGCCATATATTTTTTCAGGCTAACAAAGAAAACATGATGGAAATCACGCGACAGCTGGTCAAAAAATTTCATCCCTCGATGTGCAATGCAGACGACTCGAGAGTCCTCGGTCAATTGAGAACGATGTCTCCCAATTCAGGAACCCTCATGCAGAGAGGTTTCTTTGACCTCCAGAAAAAGATTACCTGGTTCAAAACGTATCCTGATTTTTTAGCGTCTCCATTGATTTCGAACCAGGAGAAACAGCTTTACTTTGAGATCAAGTCCAACTTGGAGTCTCCCCAATCTGAAATTGTAAGTGCTGTATTTCTTAACTGGTTTCTGTTTTTGAAGCTCTTGATTTCTACTACTAATATTTTTAAATCTTTTCCGATGTTCAAGCTAAGATTTTCTAGCTAACAATCGTGTATTAATGTCTAAAGTCAATTATCATCAGAAATCGGTGTGCCAACTCAACAATTATTTTTATGATCAGTAACAGCTCTGCATTATTTCCTGTATTTAACGAGTCTTCTCTGAAAAGGACCGATTTATTTACTTTTAACTGGTGTTCTAGTCTGATGCTTCTGAGACTGTAAAATCATCAGGCGCTGATCATTCGGGAACCAACATTTTTGTCAAGATCGAGCAGGCTTCAGACCACAGCAGAACTACAACGCCAACTAATATTTCATCAAGTGAGTCCAATGCTAATCAATCGAAATCAGATGCATCTGATATCAGTCCATCGGATCTGAGCGACAACCTACCTTTGAGTAGTCTCCAGAAAGAGGTGAAGAGAGAAATGCGAAGTAATAGTCCCTTAGTAGTCGAACCAGAATCTACTTCAACCTTAGCCAATATAGCAGCTCTGAATATTCAAAATTCATGTAAAATGGAGCAATTATTCGTTGATACCCAATCTGAAAACAACACATCTGATAGCAATAAGGACGGATCTGGGCACTTTTTCTTAGCTGCGCCTAGAATTCACCAGCTTATGGAGTTAATTGACAAAGAAATTGAAACTTGTAGATCTAATTTGAAAGAAGAAATGGCAAAACGCCAAAAATATGTGGTCGATCAGAAGCGGCGAAGTCATAATTACCAAGATTTCATTTTGAAATATTTCGCATATGCTTTAAAATACGGGCTTTTTGACGTTGAAAAAACAACTGGATCTTATACTATAAAACAAAGAAGTTCTGACGAAAGTAGCGATTCTTCAATGGCAAAAACTGATTTAAATTCTTCTAAAGATAAAAATAGTGATCAATGTAAATCACTTAGTGGTCAGTCGTCAAATTCAAATCATTTGCAAAACGGAACTGCAAGTAACGGTTCAAATCATAATTCATCGACTAGTTCAGGAACGAAACCTCCGTCTAAAACAAGCGCTTTATCAATAATTACTTCGAGTGATAGTTCAACTGTGTCTACGAATAGTTCACTAGCTTCTTCCAATTCAGCGACAGTTAGAGCAGCTTCTAGTCCGGTGTTTTCAGAAAGCAGGAGAAAAAGCAAAGTACCTAAAAGAAGATAGAACTGCGCGTCAAAATTGTAAACTTAACTATTACTATTTTGATTGAATATATGTATATTGTGTTAATTTCTATATAGAGTTTATTTTAATAATTTTTATTGGTTTGTAGCCAATTTTTTTGTCCAAATTGTCCAAATGTCTTATAATTGACAGTTCTCTGATTTGAACATTTTCTTAAATTTGAAATAATTGCATGAATATTGAATAAATCCGAGAGTTTTTATTTGAATCATAGCAGAAAAGGATAAAATGTAGCTCATTACACAGCCGAGCTAGCGAGCCTAGTGTTAAATTACGAATGTACTTTTTTCGAGCCTAACTTTTAATTGAAATGATTATTTCACAGTTGCTGCTAAGCATTAGCAATTTAATTTCATCTGCTCTATCGGCTTTTTTGATCATAGTATTTGCAGATTTTCAAGCGGGGATGGCGCAGATGCGAGGACGTCAAACTCGTAGTACCCTGATTCAGTTTTTCAACGAAATCTTTTTAGGACTATTTTGTCCTTTTTTTCTTTGTTCATTATTTTCAGTGTCATTGGACGTTGCGAAGACACTTATACAGGTTGTAATTTCTTTCCAGGAAAAGTCTTATATTTTTTTTGTCAACAAACTTGGTCTTTTGTGCTTTGAATTTCGATGCTTTTTAAGTTCAATTTAATTCAATTGTTAAAACAAAGGCAAATCACTTTTTCCGACGATTACGACAGCAGAAATGGCGAGAAAAACTTGAGCGACTTCTAATTTCAAAAATGGATTTCAATTCTTAGACTTTGCAGCGGAATAATATATATTACTATTGATCTAGTTTTCTCAAATTGGGTTACTGCTATCAGAAAAGTGTCATTCAAAAAATTTTCTCAAAATTTAAAGACCTTCTAGGCCATATTTTGTCGAAACTTTCCAAAATTTGTTTTCCAGTGTGTTTGCGCTCATTGAAACTTTTTGAACTGGCTCTAGGCTGGGTCTTTTAAATTTTTCGAGCTAGTTTTCTCGTTTTCTTGTTTGTGTTTACGAATGGCAGCTTCGCCTCTGTGTTACGCTTGCGATTAGTAAACGTAATCAATTAGGAACATTTCAACTTGCCTAACAAAATCATTTAATCAATTGTAACGACAGACATTTCTAGCCAGCAGATATATTCTGAGCATGTCTCAGTTTTAAAAATTTTTTATTACTAGTTCTTTATACTTGTTTCAGTGGCTGAACATAGGGACGAATTTAATTTTCGGGTGTTTTATTTTTCACACCTAAAATCAGCTTCCTTAAATAATCATCAGAATGGGTCAAGTATTATATCATGTTAAAGACCTCTTAGTCGTGATTCGAATGACATTTAAAACACCCAAAGTGCTCTCAGTAATGAGAGAAACTGGTTGGAAATTTTTGATTTTATGTTCAATTTTGAGCAAGTAATGTGAGCGAGTAGGTTTTGTACTCGGATAAAAAAACTTTTTTTTTAGCCGCAGAAAGTGTTGCTTTTATTTTTCGAAGCCGCAGGCGCTTCCTTGGCACTTGGGACATTGGAACGTTCTCTTGGGCTATTGGAACGTTCTGTGCGTCTCTCACAGCGGCCGGCTGTGCTTGTTTCCCTTATTTTTTTCGCTTTAAACGTTTATTCACCTTGAAGAATTTCGGCTAATCTTGTATTGGCTTAATCGATCGCCTCGTATTAGGTAGTTTATAGAGCGATAATATCTTATTCGTGTGTGCAGGGGTATGGGTTGAAGGTATGCTCTATTAGAAAATTTTGAGTCTTTTCAAATTTTTTTTATTCATAATCTTGTTCTCATGCGAGTTTGTCTGCTGGCAATTGTCTTTTTTGACATGTCTTCCCTCAAAAATTTTAGTGGTTCTATGTATCAACACTTTTTTAGATTAATTTTTTGGACTTAGTGATTTTCGTTTTTTTTTGCAGCTAGCTTTGCTTGCAATGTGTGATGTATCGGAAGTGGTCCGCCTCTTTGTTTTAGGTTTTCGCAGAAATCCAATTGTATATCATGTTAAAGCTCTTCTAGTACTCAGTAATTCAATTGAAACTACTTCAGGTTCGGCATGGGAAAGAAAGACAAGTCAAAGAAAAAGAAAAAGTCTAAAAAGAAGACAAAATCTAGCAGCAGTGAAAGCTCAAGTAGTGGTGAAGAAATGTGGGTTGAAAAAACATCCGAAACACCAATTTCAGATTCTAAACAAGAAAAATCTCAAACAGAAACAATTGATCCGTTTGAGCTTATGTTTTCATCAAGCGCCAAAAGCAGAAAAGAGCTTAACGAGCAAAAGCCGAAAGACGAAAAAGAAGAGGGGAAAAGAAAAAGCAAATTGTGCGATACTGAATTGGAAGAAACGATAACATCTCGTGAGTTGAACCCGTACTGGAAGAACGGAGGGAAAGGGCTGCCTTCGGCTAAAAATCCAGATAAAGATCGAAATAGTTCTGATAAACTACATAATGAAAGAGATGAGCTTGACGATAATGAACGTGATGATAATGATACTCGATTTTCGAGTGTGAAAAGTTGCCCTCGAGAGCTCAGCAAAATTTCAAGAACCGAAGTTGCAAAACCGAAGTCAGATTTGAACAAACTTTCAGCTGACTTGTTGAAAGCTGAACTGATGGGCGATTCTAAAAAGATTGAAGAGCTTAAAGAGTTAATTGAGGATGCCAAAAGCGATGAAGCCTCTAGAAATCAAGTCATGTTGACTAAAATTGGACCGTCAGGTGCAGTTTTTCCGGTATCTAGCAGTTCACATTCTTCTGGCATTGAACAGAAAAAGCGCAGAGGCAAAATTGAGACTCATGATAGTGATGGTAAACGTGTTCGTTATGGAACTGACGATGATGGTCAATCTATTAATGATATGCTGGTTAGAGAGAAGTCGCAGACAGCTGTAAATCAGAATAGAGCTTTGATGAAGTTCATGGGCGGAAGGGGGCGTGGCTTTGAGACTCTGGATGATAAGTTTGAGAGTGCGAAGGCAATGAAGAAGTCGGGAGGGGTAGAGGATCGGGCGATGGAAGAAGATGCAAAGAGTGAACAGCGTAAAGCCTTGCAGACGATGGATGGTAGGTTTTTTAGTGTTAAATGTTTTGAAAGTTGTGAGATCGGAAAAAAAGTTCATGCTGCAGATGAAAATTTCTGTAGCAAGTAGTTAAGTGTCACATGTATGTAAGCATGTAAATTTGCCCTTTTATCATAATAGATTACGCAATCCATAGTTGGTTGAACTACCCGAGAATTTTTCAGCCTAATTGCTTTCTGCCCATAATTTTATTGGATCATTTTGTCAACTTAAGAGTGAGTCTTTTGACGTGGAAAAAGTGAAATATAAACTGCAAATTAATAATTAATGGTTTCAGCACCAGCGGTCTTGTTTGTTTCAGAGTGCTACCTGTGCTTCAACAGTGCAGCGTGCAAACAACGTCTCGTGGTCCGATCAAACGAGTACTGTTACTTATCTCTACCATTCGATACACCTCTCGTCAAAAATCACTGCCTAATATGCCCTGTTCTACACTACAACTGCAGCACACTCTTAGACGAAGAAGTTTTCGAGCGAATTGAAGCAGAGAAACGATTTTTAGTGGAAAAATTTGCAAAGTTGAAGAAACGTGTGATTTTTGTGGAGTGCTTTAGAAACTCGAAGAAGTTTTTCCACATGTATATAGAATGTATTCCAGTCGGAAGGAGTTCGTACTCGGAAGCTCCGATGTTCTTCAAGAAAGCGATTATGGAATCGGAAGAGGAATGGAGCATGAACAAGAAGTTAGTGGACCTGAAAAATAATGACGTCAGAAGAACAATCCCGAAAGGCTTATCTTACTTTACGGTTCAGTTTGGACTTGATCCGGGAGGTTTTGCACATGTCATAGAAGACTGCTCGCTCTTCCCGAGGTACTTTGCGAGACAAGTTGTCGGAGGAATGTCGGATCTTGATGACTTTGTGATTCATAGACCGAAGGCTTTGGACAAAGAAACGCAATTGAAGAATGTTGAAAGGTTCAAAAAAGATGTTTTGAGCTGAATTGGATTTTGTACTGACTGTGGTATAGAGATCTAGAGTCTTATGTTCAAGACAGTTGAGTTCAAAAAGTGACCAGGCTTTCGAGTTTATGGAATTATGATTTGATGCTCTGGCGGAAAAGTTATTTGCGAACAGTCCCTGCGACAAAAAAAACTTTATCTTCAAGTGAATAGAATATTTCAAAAAAACTTATTGATAAATGTCTTTTGTAGTCCTTTGATTTAAAGTTCCCTCAGTGTTTTCATCTGCGGACAAACATTTGAATCCGCTCATCAGGAAAATTATTGATGAATAGGTTATCATCTGAGATCTTTTCATTCCATCTTTCATCTCAAAACACATTTTTTTGCGCAGCTCCGAAAGTTTTGTTGAAGCAATTCGGGTATTTTGAGTAGATATTCTTGATTTTTTCTAAAAACTTCTTTTTCGCTAACGTTTCAAACTGTATAGGTTTTTTTCATGGGAAAAGTGAATAGCGTTTGCGAAAAGGCTGTTTCCATTTGGAAATATTAGGAAAATATTCCGATTGCAATTTCAGAATCAGCGAGATAAAACGTTGCAATATTGGATTTCAATATGACTCATGCAATAAAATAGAATATGGAGTCAAGTCAAAAAGTAATGGGACGCTTTTCATTTAAAACTGTTATAAATAATCTGGCATGCAAGTGGACTCAACTATAAACGCATATAGTCAATCAATCATGTGCAAGCAAAAGTTAGGAACAGCTATGCACCGTATTTGTAAAACTTAATCTTAAATTTGAACTAATTTTGTGAACTTTTTCAAAACTTTTCTTTTTGCCAGATTCGGAGATTTGTTATTTTCAGACTTCTCTTGATTAGTTTACACACCTCAAATCAGTTTTCGTGATGGAAAACAGTCCTGCAGAATCACCGGAAAAAGAGAAAAATAACTATTTTGGAGGTAACGAAGTGCGCGACTATGTTGCCAATGCAATTCTATACTGTGTCTACAGAGAAGTGGCCCTGGCTTGCGAAGAGGAAGAAAAAAGCGCAGCTTTACTAGAAGCGTCAGCATCAGCACAACTTGAATCTTGCCTTTCAGATGATGTCAAAGAGAAATTGTGCCTCCGAAGAAGATCAAGAGAAAATGCGAAAAACAGTGATGAGAGTCAAGTAAGCATGCACAGAATAGAAGCAAGGCTGGAAAAGATTTTGAAGAACATAATTAAAATGACCGGATGCGAAACTCAAGGGGAAGCTGTAAAAACGTTATCAGAGACACTTAATCACAATCAAAGATGCGATAAAATTATTAGAAAGTTAGTTCATAAAGAAAAGAAATGTAATCGACAGTTTGAAAGATATCTTGTAAGCAGTTCGGTTGAAGAAAAAAGAGTGTTCGAAGAGGTGGAATCGAGACAATCTGCAGAAGAATTGGAAACCGAAATTTTAGCCATGCGATCAGTCGCTATGGAAAAGAAGGCGCAGTTAATGGAACTAGAGATTACATGGGAAACGTACAATGAAGACAAATCAAATGCACTTGAACTTATTTCTGACCATTTAGACAGAGAAATCGAAAGGGCGGAAAATGAATGTAAAAATTTATCAGACACTTTGGCGCAGTACCAAGTACTTGGCCCCGAGTTTCACGAAATTGTGAAAAATTACCGTCAAATTAAGAAGGAAATTAGAGCAAACGAACACGTGTTGTATGAAATTGACGATTCTGAGTATCCCAGTAGTAGTCAAAGTTGAGGTTATGATAGTAGTAGTTTTTGTACTGGTTGCAATACTTTTATTTTTAGAATGTGTGATTTTTAGGCATTGAATTGCATTATTTGTCTTGTAAAGTTTGATATAAAAACGGGAATTGAAGTGTTCTCTATTAATCTTTTTTGCTCAGCAATTTACTTCGCAATAAGCAAAGTAGTTGAAAGATCGCTTAAAATTTAACAGTCAATTTGTTTGAAATGAAAAACTAATAATCGTGTTTTTGAAACAAATTAGAAGTTTGACCTCAACTTATTGTCCGATATACAGCAGGTTTTTATGATAGATTTTTATGAAAAGGTCTAAAACTCCAGAGAACAAAAAGTACAGTTAAGCTCTGCTTCTGGTCAAAATTTGTTACAGCTTTCTTTTAGTTGAAACCATTTGAATTTTGCAAGGCACTTTGGATCAGATGTTGAAGCGTGAAGATTTTGAGTGGAATTGTTGAGGTGGCATCTCTTATGACTGAGATACCGAATGATGGAAAAACATTTCAGTCAATCAGAATCGAAAACTCAAAATGCTTAAGGAATACTGACCGATTGCAAAACAGCAGACAAATAATTTTTTAAATATTGTCAGACCTAAGACGCATTGCGCATTGAAAAAAAAACAGTACTTGAAGGATACTGATTTTAAAAAAAGAAAAACAAAATATATTTTTAAGCTCTACTTGAAATGTAGAACAAAATTTGGCTGTAGTCTAAACTATTTTTCCTGCTAATTTTGACTCTGATTTAGTCCAAAATCATTTAGCGAATAGGACTTTTTAACGATTTTGATTGGTTGAAAATTTTCATTAATTCGGTCTCTCCATCTTGACAATAGCTCCTTGCTATGGCGCTGATTATTATTGCTGAAACTGTTTTGTCATAATTTATGAATGTTGGTAATGATCCGTTTTTTTTGGCTGTTTGAATCTCGCTTTGTTAAGCTTTTGCGATATAAAATTTTTGTTAAGGTTTTGACCACTGAAAGAGGAGATGAACTTCGAATTTAGAGGCCTCTTTGTTCTCATGCCAAATTAGGTTCCACATATAATTAGACTGAGTGATATATCTTAAGGTCAAGTGATATATCTTATTAAATCCCATTCAGTCGTGAGTCGAATGACATGAAAAATTGCCCCAGTTAATTTTTTGTCAGTCTATTTTGGAATAAAGCGAGCGAGTAATGCGATAAAATCTAAATTAAGCTGTGAGGTATTTATTATAAGTTTGAAAATAGTTCTTATTTTACCCTACTACAAATCTCTAGTAAATGACTTAAAAAATTAATTTTTAAAATGGTAGTTTGTTTAGAAAATAGGTAGGTTTTGCTTTTCGTTATTAATTTTTCAAAAGTAACTAATCAATGGAAACTGAACATCTTAGTAAAATTCCAGGAAACTTCGAGTTTATCTCCTCAGCACAAAAAAGTGACTCAAATGGAAAAAGTCAAATTGAGTTGTTTAAGAAAATTGGTGGTCGTAACTTTTGTGCTGTTTGACATCATACGGCAATTCTTATTGTTCCTACCGATTGAAAAATGTGGAGGAACGTTGTATTTGGGTGTGTTTGAGTTTTTTTCTTTGTTTTTTTTGCTCTTTGTTTTCCACGCAAAATATCATATTAAAATTTTTTCAGTCGTGATTCGAACGATATGAAAAAATGTCCAATTTTTTTTTCCAAAGTCAAGAAAAACAGGTTGGAAAATTTTCGGTTTTCGTCTCATTTCGATCGAATAAAGCGAGCGAGCATGCTTATTTATGCTCAATTTAGGCCGTTTTACAATAGCTTATTTATGCTTAATTTTAGGTCGTTTATGCCTAAATTGTTATCCAGTTTGAATGTTTCACGTTGACTGTAGAATATGCCTTAGTTGTACTTTTTTGTTCAGATCCTTTTATCACAACGCAGAAAAAAATGACACCAATTTGAAGGAAAAAAATTTGTGTTTTTTAAGGTTATAATCGGAACATTGTGTGCTAGTTGCACAGTACCCGCATACCCTTGTTTTTATTGAATATTTTCGAAAAAATTATATTATTTATTTGGTTTCCTTGAATGAAGGAATTTGTTAATAAACAACCTTAAAAGGTTATAAAATTATGATCTAATTTTTACCACTTGTTATTGCTTCTCATTAGACCTGACTGTTGTTAGTCGGCTGTATAAGGTTAAGATTGAGTTGCATGATCTCCTATGGAAATTTGTTAGCATATGTCAAAAACTTCATCTCACCTGAAAAAAATAGCGAATGCTTTTGGGCTTTGAGGTTTTTAGTTACTTAAATATCCGCCTGTTAGTGGACTCAATCATAGAATTGTGAACTTATCCTGAAGAATCCGACTCTAACCTTTGTACTTATTAAGAGGCAATGAACGTCGTGAAGACTATAGGTCGTGATGATTTTCTTGTTTTTTTTTTCAGGAAAAAGTATATTTTTTTTTCTGTTCCCCTGCGTTCATAGATTTGCAACTCTGATGGCTATGCTTAGGATATGTATATTTTTATAGAAAGCTACCTAATACTAAAATTCTAAATAAGATAACCAGTTCAGACTAAAAACTTGAGGCTCAAAATATTTGGCTTTCGAAGATATATGGTTTTGTAATTTATTTTCAGACCACATGAAATTAGTCATTAGAATATTCATAAAACATCAATATGTTCGAAAACAAATTGGGTTGTCAAATTTTGTGTTTCTTTTCATATAGACAATTGTGTCTAAATCAATGTGTATTGTTGTTGTTTAAGACTAAAAATTGAGGCTCACACATTTTCTTTCATATCTAAAATGAGGATTTTTAAAGAAAATCGATTTTTTTTTCAAAGTTTGACATATTTTACCACTTGGGAATCTTAATATTTACACATGCGAAGCGAGTGTATTAGTACGAGCCTTCTTTTTTCCAACCTAAGTCGCAAATATTGGTGCCACTTTTGGGGCAGCACAGCTTTTTCATGTGCTTTGACATTCGAATAGTAATAATTTAACACAGTTGATGCATTTTTAATACATCAGATGAGCCGAAAAAAATGATTTGTTTCAAACAACGAAACAATGATGAAAACTCGATTTCAGAAATTTTCTAACTCAATATATCTTGCAATTTTTTGATATGCATAATTTATACATAATGCAGCTTTATGCTTCGGATTTGGTGCCATTTTTGGTGAATCGCATTGGCAATTTATTAGCATATGTAGCTGCTTTATTCGTGGCTAGTGTTTGTCGGTTGTTACGCTTGGATGGCTGAGTGGATAGTGCGTGAGACTCAAAATCTCTTGATTGCAGTAGGTCGCAAATTCGAATTCTACACGTAGCCGAGTTTTTTGTTAATTCCTGGTTTGTTTCTATTTTTCTTATTGCACTTTCTAGAGCTGCTCTGGCTAGTGCTTTTGGTCGTGTTCTGGCTAGTGTTTGCGAAGCGCAGCTTCGCTTCTTTGTATTTAAACTTCATAGTCTGAAAAGTTTTGTTTCTGGATATGCAGGATGATGCGAAGGGCCAGTTTTATACTCAGCTCGTGGTACTGTTTTTTTTGTGTTTTTGTTTTGTCATTCACTCGTTGAAGCGTATGCTGTTTTGATCCATCCATTTTTTTATTTAGGCTATTTTAGAATTTAAAAACAACTTTCATCTGAAGTCAGCAAAATTTTTTCTTTATTTCTGCAATCTGATGGATATTTTGCGTTGTTTACTTAGTCTACTAAATAGTACAATATTTAATTTTTCGTAAATTTCCGCTTCAGTGGTTATCTTGACTTGCAATCAGGTGTGAGTTGTGATTCTTCCTAATCTCCAAAAATTGAATTAAAAAAATATGGCAAATTCTTTTTGAATTAGGTGCTTTCCGATTCTATCTTTAGCTGATCGATATCTCTTCTCAAGGCTCGAATTTCGAATTCAGTTTTTGGTCTAATCATGGGAACAGCTTTCCTATAACTCATGCTGTCAGTCACTTCTGCTGAAATCGTTTTTGGGTTGTTCTCATCGGCTATTAGATTTTGTACTTTCTGACGATGAAGAAAATCGTAATGACAGTGACTTGGTTTTGCAATTGATAGATTCGTCATATCTTGGCAATTTCCACTTGATGTTGGACGATGGTTGAAGCCAGTAGAATATGACGCATGATTGTCGAGGTGTTGTTTGTTTCCAGTTGCGTAATACGATGATCCTCTTTGGTTTGAAAACGCCATGGTAATCAATAGTACATTCAACAGATGTGAAGCGGCTGCTATTTCTGTTGTAAAAATCTTAAAGGTGTATATATGTAATTTGGTTCAAACTGGGCAGCCTCTGTTCGTCTTTTTGGAATTGGATAGGGTTCCAATTTGGTAGAAGAAAGAAGGTATGGTAAGTTAGATGTGTGAAAACTAATCCGCTCAATTTTGCTGTTAAATTATCTGTAGAAAGCAACAAGGAATCTAGTTAAAACAGCCAACATTTAAAACAGCCAGTGTGCTTCTTGACCTCAAGAGCTAAAAGTTGACATTGGAATAAACTAGTTTGAAGTAATTTTGAACGAGTGGCACATATTGGATGAACAAATGTGCTGCTATCGTTTTTAATACATACACTAGTATGTAACTGAAGTGAAGTGCTTTGATGCGAAAAACTGTGAATAGAATGCACAAAAATGTGAAGAGAACACGCAATAGCAATGAAAGCAGTGTTTTCTTCAAATGGTAGTTATGCCTTGCTTTGAAATCAACTTGCAGAGTAACGTCGTGGACTATTTTAACCTAAGGTTTAGTGCAATTGCCATTTTCTGAAAAAGATATAACTTTTAATAAAAAAAATCAAATATAAAATAAATTTCCAAGAAATTCGTTTCAGAAAAATTGCACAAAATGCGGAATGACGATTGATTTAGTCAGTTTGGATGGAAAATGCCGAAGTTAATTATAATCCTTAGCGGTAAAAGAAAGAGTGGGAAGTCTTTCCTCACTGAAGCTTTGACTGATTATTTTGGCGGTGATAACTGCTGTGTGTTGACACTAGCTGCACCTCTGAAAAAGCAGTACGCAGAAACACATGGATTAGATTACAACCGACTTCTTGATACATCAGGCAGTGAAGTTCAGAAAAAGGATTTTACATTAAATGGAATGAACAGCAAGTTTTCAGTTTTTTATTTTTTCACAAATAGCAAACATTAGATAGTTAGACTGCTCGTTTTACCGCAATTTACGAAAGTTTCCGCAATTTGGTAAAATGAAATCGAAGTTTTGTTTAAGAAAAACGAAAAATTTAGTTAATTTCTTAATCCTATTTTGAAATTCTTTCCTCACACTCGAGTCAATTCTTATGAATGGATGTCCCATAAATACCTCAAACCTCAAACTAATTTGCTATTCTTTTGGTGTGCCGCAATTTTATACAACGTCATTGCACCTCACCGCCTATCCACGGCTTTTTTGATTAAGTTTTAAGGTACACTAGTGGACAAAATTAAGCGCGAAATCATGTTTTTCTTTCTAAAATGCCTGTTTTCAATGTCCATTTTGGACAAAATTTCGTTCGAATTTCAGTAAAACTTTTACGTAGACCAAGAAAAAATGATCAGAGCTACCCTTGATGAAATTAACAAACATTGGTTCCAATGACTTACCAGTGTTTTCTGGGTCTGAAATGACAGTTTTCACCATCTGCACTAAATTTTGCATCGGGGTGAACTCTTTCGAATAAGTGGAGAAAAAAAATTGTTCAGGCGTTGTGAAAAATTTTGAGCGATAAATTTTATTATTTAGCAGATGTTCCTTGCATTTTCACGCGTTTTGAATAACTTAGTGCAGATAGTGAAAACTGGCATTTTCAGAACCAGAAATCTCTGGTAAGTCTTTGGAACCAATTTTTGTCAACTTCATAGAGGGTAGCTCTGAACACTTGCTTTGGTCTATTTCCTGTGAAGCTTGTCCAAAATCAACCTTGAAAACAGGCCTTCCAGAAGGATAAAACCTGATTTTGCGCTGAACTTTGTCCAGTGTAGGTGTGTGTTTTGAAGTTGTTAGATTGTGTGATTTTTGTTTTGGTTTCAAGGAAAAGGTTGTTAACTTCGCTCTCAAATTTATTATATGTCGCTTTCATTTTTGATTTTGGCAGTTTTTTTCACTGTTCAAATGAAAGGTAAATCACGCACTCCAATATCAAAATTGCAAATGGCTACCAATAGCGTGAATGTTTTCAGTTCCAAAAGTATTTTTTTTTTAAATTCCCGGCGTGTTGCAAAACATCAATAGATCAAGTTTTTCAACCTTGGTGAGTTGGAAATGTTTGTTCATAGGCTAGAAGGCTGCATAATTTTGAAATCTTTCAAAATTGCGCAATTAATTGTATCATCATAAAACGTCGTAGTTCGGCACAATTTCGAAACCATGATTCGAGAGCATACTCGCTTTTTTGTAGAAGCAACCTTGTTACTCCAATTCTTGTTTGAAGCAGTGTTTCAATAGCCCTGTTATTGCGCTTGCGAGTCAAGTGTCTTGTGATTGGGAAATTAATTTTTCCCCTTTAACAATGTTTCTTACAAATCTGTAGGAATTTGAAGTTGCTTTTTTAGTGAACCCCAATTGGTCCGGATTTTTTTTCGGTATTAATGAAATGGAAAAAGTCTGCTGATCTTTGTCGGCTTAGTTGCCACATAGCAGATTTTTCTTGTGCTACAAACAATTTTCATCGTAGGTGCAAGTATTTTGATTTTCTCCTGTTATTTGCAAAATTAATAGCCCTGACGTTGTATCTAATTGGTTTCGGTTAATGTTTTATCGGCTTAGTTACTTTATTTTCTGTCGCTTCAAAGGCAAAACCTGATTGATTTTTTTTGAAAAATTCAGGTAGTTAAGGTTTCAAGATTTCAATGTTTTTAAATTTTATTGCTCAAATTTTTTTAAGACAACCAGTAGTGGATTTATGGAGGACGCCTCCCCTTAGTGATTCGACTCTTTGACAACACAAAGAGTCCCCCTTTGGTACTTATATCTTCATTTTTGGATGGCGGGCCTTGATACTTTTCTAAAAGCGCCTTTGGCGCCAATGTGTACTAGTTTTGAGGAGAGATCGCGCGCCGAAAAAAAAACATTGTTTTTTTTTGTCAAAACTACAAAAAGTGTCCAAAAAGTTTTTTTAGGCCAAAACAGAGTCCTAGTGATTTGGGAGAGTTTGGAAACTCCATTTGGTTGATATAAAAAAGGTCGAAAAAATATCGTTTTTTTTTTTGAAAATATCCCCCCTCGAAAAAATTTTAGACCTGATGAGAATGAAGTCAATTTGGCTTCTCAAATTTTAAGTTGGCTTAACTTATTTGTTTATCGGGAGTAAGTTAAGTTTTCACGGATTTTTGTCTAAAATTTTTGGAAGTTCTCCTGAAAAAAAACTCGTCAGAAAGGAATTGTTTACTATAGAACAATATTTTTGAACTATTTCACACCCATAAACATGGGAAGTTTTTTAAACCAGAAAAATATTTCCTATTTGATTTTGGATTATTTATGTCACGAAAGAAATTTTCATAAAAGTTTTTGTAATTGTAATTCGCTTGGTGTAAGATACTCGGGGTTCTTCAGGTTTTTTTGTTCTAAATGCCCGTGCCCTAGCTATTATTGCTATGGAAACTCATTCTGCATATGCTATCAGAACTCCTAATATTACTGGTTTTTCTCTGATCATCACTGCTTGTAGGCTATAAAGAGCTATATAGAATAGACATGATAAAATTTGGGGAGCATAAACGAGCCATGGAGCCTTCTTGTTTTTGCACTATGGCCATAGACCAAATTGAGGAGAAATTCCGAAAAGACGAATCTAAAATTTGGATAGTATCAGATGCTAGAAATAAGTATGACATTGACTATTTTATTGCCAATTACGGAAAAGAACGAGTGAAATTAGTGAGAGTTGTGGCGTCTGATTCAGTTCGAGATACGAGAGGATTTGTTTTTACTCGAGGCGTTGACGACAATAACTCTGAATGCGAATTGGATGATTTTGAAACATGGGATTTGGTGTTTTGGAACAATAACTCGTCCGAGTTTGAAAATATTATGACTCAATTGAGAGATCTTATTTATTCGTGATACTGCACCATTATGGTGTTGAACCAGAATACGTTTTGGTAGATTCTTCGATTAGATTACAGCCTATAATCTAAGATTTTTTGCTTGATTGACTCATTTTACTTTAGTTTAAATCAATAAATAATCAAACAAGTTTTAAGCTCTGATGTGGTTGTAGCCCCCATGATTAAAACGTCGTTAGTTAAATCTTGAAATTAGACCATATTGATTCTTCAGAGGAACTATGCGAAGAAATGAGCTGTTGCTAAAAAAGTCGGCAACTGACTTAAGATAAGAGAAAACAATCATTAATTTGATATTCTCAATGGATGAGATACTTGCTTGACATTACCCAACCTCCGAAACCAAAATGCCAAAGTGTGTTTTGATTTTGAGCGGGAAAAGAAAAAGCGGCAAAGATTTCTTGAAAGACGAACTGAAACGATTATTGAAGGATAACTGCTGTGTTTTGACCTTATCTGCCCCTTTGAAGAAACAGTACGCTCTAGAACATGATCTTGACTTCAACCGCCTTCTCGACAGCTCAGATTATAAAGAGTTACACAGAGAAGAAATGATAAAATGGGGAGAAGAAAAGCGAAGCAAGCAGCCGTCGTTTTTCTGCGAATTATCTGCCAAGGATGCTGAAACTAAAAATCAAAACAATGATTCTGTAATTTGGATTGTTTCAGATGCTCGAAGGCCAACGGATATTGAATATTTTATTACCAAATATGGAAGGGAAAAGATCAAGTTGATCCGAGTCACAGCCTCCGAAGCCGTTCGGACATCGAGAGGTTTCGTGTTCAAACATGGAATCGACGACGCGGATTCGGAATGTGCGCTGGATGAATTGATCGATTGGGATCTAGAATTCGAAAACAATGACGAAGATGAGTTTCGCAGTTGTATGATTAAGTTGCTAGCCTTACTTCCCTGATAGTACTAAATCTAATAGGTTCTTCTATGGAAATATCACGTCTATTACATTGATTCTGTTGATTTATTGATAGGTGAAATTTTGTTTATTGATTATTCATTATGCACTCATGCGCAGTATTTTTGTAAATTTAGAAACTGATTTATTGCGTCTATAGGTCTTGAGATTTTTGATCACGGAAGCTATCACTTTCATTTTTCAACTTCTGAATGTTTCACTTCCAAAACTTTCTGTAACAAAAGCTAAATCATTGCAATTCAACTTAAGTTAGAAATTGGGTTGATTTTCTATAAAATCCAGTCAACTACAAGATCGTGTTGATCCAGTTTATCACCTGGAATATGAAAATCTGTCTTCGTTAGTCTTAAACTTGAAAATAGATCGGGGGAGTATGATAGAAAAGGAGAATAATTACATTAATGTAGTTTTTTTAAAATCAAAGAAAGGAAATCCATGTTTGTTTAAATTTTTGAAATATCCTGACGTCATCTTGAAAGTACGATTTTTCTATGTGAAATTCCTTGCGATCTTCAGGGTCTCACGCAGAAAGCGTCAATAGTGACTGGGTTTATTCAACCTGAAACCGTGGGTTTTTCAAAGTCCAGATTGCTGTACAAGTAAATTAATTCAACGTAATTCAAGAAGCCAATTAAAACATGAGAATGCAATTTTTAAAATAATTTTTTTGAGAGCCGATGAACGTATTGAAGACTCTTATATATGTCATGATGTTCGTTTTTTTTTCAGGAAAAGTCACTAAACTTTATTCAGGCTAAAATTTGATTTTTCGCAATTTAATTTTTGATTACTCAATCTTAAGGAACGCACCATCCAACAGCAAAACTGCGAAGACGAGAAACGTAATCAACCTATAATTTCCCAGCGGCGTAAAAATTTTACCTATTGATCCAGTTTCCCGGAATTGAGTTACTTGTATCAAAAAAGTGTCAATCATTAATTGTCTCAGAAGAGCTAGTTGTAGAAGAAATTGTTCATATGAGGGCTTTGAAGTCATTTTTTGTTTACTTTGAAATTCGACAGTTTTTTTGGTTTCTTCCGCTCTTTGTCTCTTTTCCAACAGTCTGTTAGCTGTTTTGATTTTTATTCAATGGGAGGAGATTCAATTAAACAAAAATTGTAGTAGTATTAGTATAGTAATTAGGGTTTTTATCCAATCGGTTTTTTCCCAAAATATAGTTTAATGAGTTCTGAGTTTTGCGTTTGGGTTACAGTTTCCTCATTGACACATTTTCTCTGTGCAGCTGTCCTTTTCTGATTTTTTTTCCGAAGAACTTCCAATAAATTTCTCCTCTGTCAGATTTTTTAAAAATCTCCGATAACTGTTTGGAGGTGATGTTGAAGAGTATTGGGAATCGAACGAAGGAGTCAGCGTTGGTCTTCATTAAGCGAGTTTTGGAACTAGGAATTCATTTCTATCGTTTCGTCTCGTTAAACCTCGGATGTACGTGGCATACTGGTAAATTTCATAATTATTTCGAATAATGGATGTGAAAAGTAGAAGTTCGTGCATTTCGATTTATAAAGACAGGGGGAGAAGTCTAAGTTTCTGCAGTCTTTCTTTATATAGAGTGTTTGAGTTGTGTATCCATTTCGTTGCTGTCCGCTGGACTTTTTCTATGAATTTGAGATTAGGTTTGGAGTAGTGGGTTATGACGTGCCATAAACTACTATTGGTACAACATATCCTGAGTACGCTTTGAGCTTTGAAGTTATGAGACAATCTGATGGCAGATACTGTTTCATTGAGTAAAAGGCGAATAATTACTTATGACACTGCTCAGATGCACTTACATTCCATGAAAAAGTTCGGATAACAAATATTTCTTCATCTTTTTGTTATTTTTCAATTTTGAGATTGTTTCTTTTGATGTGGCCTTCTAACTCATTTTTGAAATTGACCATAGTGCATTTTCAAGCATTGAGAATGTTAAGTTATTATTACACCTATTTTTGCTTAACGCAGTAGCATTATCTAATTCCCTTTTGCTTTTAGTCGTCGGCATATCCGAAAGAAGTCGTCGGCATATCCGAAAGAATTCTCTAAGTTAATATTTTCTGGTAGGCTATTGATGTATATTATGACACTAGAGAACATTGAGGGACACTACTTGTATTATAACATATTGTAGACTTTGCTTTATTCAGTCGAGCATACTATTTTCTTAGCCATAAATATGAAGCAATGAGTTTTAATAGTTTTCCACCAAAATCAAAACTTTAATTTTTTGAGTAGGAAATGTCAGAAGTAATCGAAAGTTATTTTGAAGTCCAGATAGAGCGCAGTTATATTTGGGGAGGTTTGTTTGTCATGGCTTAAGTGTAATTGATGTAATTATGCAAGAAGTTGAATGTTGCTGAATGCTTTTTTGGAAATCTTATTGAGAACTATGAAGAAGATGTCTCGAATCGTTTCTTATGTGAAGTCATTTGTTATTTTTTTGAAGATGTAGCATAATGAATTTCTCGATCTGTATCTTCTTATGTCTGATTTGTCCTCATCTTTGAAACTTTGCTGATTTTCCTGTCTTCAGGGAAGATTCTTTTATTTATGAACGTTGGCAAAATTAAAATGGTCGGCTTTGAAAGTGTTTTTTGCTAGATTTTTTGTAGACAAGATTTTCCAAATTATCAGCGCCAGATAATTTGGGAAATCTTGTTTATAAAATTCTAGCAAAAATACTATCAAAATCGACCCTTTTAATTTAACCAACGTTCAATATTAAAGGAATGCTCTATTGACATCTAGTTTGTTCATAATTTTTTCAATGCAGTCTTTTTTCAGCTCGATACGGTTATATATAGCCTTTTCGAAATGACTACTATTCTGTCATTTGTGGTTCTTGTGAAATCGTTACAGATGAATTGATTAAAAGCATCGCCTTTCTCTTTATCGGTTTGCCGTCGAGTTTCATTTTTGATTGCAATCTTGTTAGACTGCTAGCGTTTCGTAGATACTTTCGCATAGTGCTAGATTTACGTGGTGCAAAAACTTTAAGCCCATGGCTTTTTAGATCTTAATCGGCAGAAATTTGTATTAGTTCTTAATTTGTAATTATTGAGACAATTTGTGGTTTTTGAAAGAATTGCTGTATTCGAAATAATGTTTCTTTGCTTTTACAAAGAAGCGAAGTTTTCTTCCAGACTTTTCCATAGCCAAGCATACCATTGTTTTTTTTAGGAAATCAGTTGCTGTGGCAAAACGTTGTGAATGGATTGTTGACTATTGAGGTAATCGTTGCAGTCCAATCTACTCTTTTGAAAGCATATCTGATTTTTTATCGCTTTTTTTCATTGAGAGTTTGGCTTATCTCTATTGTGTGAAAAATTTTTGTTTTTGTCATTGATTGTGTACATCTTTGTCATTGATTGAGTACATCTTAAACATATTTTTGTTTTTGAAGGTGTTCACGATCAAAGGGCGTCAAGACTTTCAGATTTTTCAGGTGATAAGATTTGTTCAAAATTGTTATCAATTAGGATTTCAATAATTAATTTTTTATCAGCATCATCTGACGCCATTGCTTTCCAGTCAGGTTTCGCGAAGTTTTCATCTCCAGTGATTATAATGTTTCAACAATTCAAGTCTCCTGCAGTGTTAATATAAATTCTACAATCAAAATGGCTGTTGATCTATGTGAGCTTTCTTCGGGCCTGCAATAAAGACAGCATATGATAATGGATTTTTTTTTTGAAATCTGTTATTCTTATTGAAACTTGTTCAACAATTGAGATAATGTACAGGCTGATGTTTTGAGTGTTTTCTGATGGCAGTTAAAGCCCCGCCATGTTTCATCTGGTAGTTTAAGATGGTCGATCACATCTGTAGATTTCAAACTCTGATAATAAAGTTTTTCCGATTTTGTTTCGGCTGTTAGCCATTTTTCGGTTAGGCATAAGATATCGTTATTACATGCACGAGAGATTGCATTTGCCATACAAGTTCCTCGTGACATCTTGATTATTTTTCGTACAATAAGTGTTAATACTGTTCATCTGAGCGTTTAGCCAGATTGAATTATTTAAGCATTTAGTCTCTACCCAGCAGATTTCAGTTTTCTCCTCAACTTTAGATCCTTTAGTCACAGATCTGTGCTTTTGTACTTGTTTGGTTGAGTAGCATCAAGCCTTGTTTCAAGCAGATTGTTACGCAGATAACTCTTCACTGATGAAGGTTTTGTTTTCATTTTTTTAAGCTTGTACAGAGAGCAGCATTCTACGTTTCTCCCGTGGTGCTGAAACGTTCATAATTAACGGTCGATTTTTATTTTCAGCGAACTTTCCGACCCTCGTAAATCATTTATTGGGCTTTTGATTTCCATAAAACCAAGAAGATTTACCATTTTTTGCATATCCTCGTCTGCTCTTGACCAGGCGTCTGTTGCCCTTGATTCTGGTATACCTCTTATACATATGCCATCATATTCCTTATGAGAAGCTTTCCCATTTTTTGGTGCGAGCTTATTAGATTTAAGTTTGATTTTGCTTTATTTTAGTATTAATTTCAGTAATTTTGTTGTTCAGTTCACTGACTCGTGGGGGATGCCCAGTACGTAAACCCTATTGCAGAGATCAGATACTTGCCAGGCAAGTTTCGCTAGTTCCTTCCGAATGTGCTCTGATACTCGTGCAGATGGCACTGTACCGCTGAAGGCGTCGTATCGGCCAATAAATAAACAGATGATGTACTGATCTTCCGCCGGTAAATGATTTTGGTACGTGGAAGATTCTACCTCAGGGATTGACAAAATGTTGATGTTTGGAAACACTAGTCTCCTCGCTTGTGAGTCTGCAATCAGCAGGTGTTTTTGTGATGACGTTTTGAGGATGTGCGCTTTCTTAACATGCAAGGTCTTGTTTCTAAAAAAATCCCATTAGAGATACTCCACTTGAGACCGAGACCATTTAACCTATTGTAGATTTCAGCTAAAATCCCTGCTGACGGGTAGTCAATATGATTTTCAGTTCCCGATCCCATATAATCAGGTGTTGTCTTTTGTGATCAAGATGATGAAGATGTTATTACCGCAACAGTTCCAGTAAATTCCGGTGGCGTTTTCCCCGGGCTTAAGCCGTTCACTGCTTAGGTTTTTGTCCTTCTACTGCTACTAAAAGATCTAACTTCCTTTGAAATAGTTACAAGGCATGAATCAAATTAAACACATTAGTCTGTAAGCAGGATAATTACACTTAAACGTCATGAGCATTGGTTCTTCTGTGAAACACAAAATACTTGAACTGAGAGGGGGGAGGATATATGCTGTCTGTGTGTTATGCAATGTAGTTACTAAAACGAGTTTTTCCTTGGAAGAATCAATCATCAGAAATGCATTTGGTGCTACGGTGATTGCAGGAATTGAAGGGTCGGAGCTCGGCTTTCACAGAGACACGCTTGAAATAAAAACTCACAAAACTAAAAACATCCAGGTCATGTTCGCGGTCGGTGAAGAAGCTTGTCCTAGAAAAATAAGTCTTAAAGTGTAAGATAGTAGGATAGGCAGATATGAGAAGGCAGTTTGTCCTCTTAAACTCAGCTGGTGATCAT